GCTACGACACATCTTCTCGTCAGACATACCTCAAAACCTTAAAACGAAATTGTACAACCAGTGCGTGTTGCCAGTGATGACTTACGGAACTGAGACGTGGTCCTTCACTGCTGGCCGTATGAGGAAGCTCAAGGTCGCTCAGCGAACTATGGAGAGGGCTATGCTCGGGGTTTCTCTGCGTGATAAACTTAGAAATGAGGATATCCGCAGTAGAACCAGAGTAACCGACATAGCCCAACGGATTAGTAAGCTGAAGTGGCAGTGGGCCGGCCATATAGCTCGAAGAACCGACAACCGATGGGGAAGAAAGGTTCTCGAGTGGTGGCCTCGTACCGGTAGGCGAAGTGTAGGGCGTCCCCCCACGAGATGGAGTGACGACCTGGTAAGATATGCAGGAAGTCGATGGATGCAGGTGGCTCAGGACCGTGCTTTGTGGCATTCTTTGGGGGAGGCCTATGTTCAGCAGTGGACTTGTGAAGGGCTGTAATGATGATGATGATATTAATGGTACAAAAATGCAGACGTGATAAAATTTAAGAATATTATTAAACACAATTAATTTGCTTGAATATAATAAGCACATCGTGTAATGTTTAATTTTAACCGACTTCAAAAAGGGAGGAGGTTATCAATTCGGTGTATTTTTAATGTTTTTAGCTCAGAATTGTGCAATTTCTAAACCAATTTAGATTTTTTTATTTGAAAGGATATACACACAGATTGATCCAATATACACGCTGAAATTTTAATTGTTGTTTTCCCGAAGCAAAATGATTTTGCCTTAGTAGTACAATAGATTTATTAAAATAAAAATTATTAGGATGCAAAAATGGCAGGTCGGGCGTGCAGGCTAGCTTATACCGAATTACTATAATAAAGTCTGAAAAAAAATTCACTGGACGTAATGTTGTGTTACGTTTATCGCACGCGCTACCGCTTGCTTCCTACACAGTGAAGGGCCACTAATAAATGTTCATAACATGAACTCTCAAACGTAGTGATACGAGATAAACTAGTCTGGACGCCCGACTAGCTTGTGAGGTATTACTATTTTAAATCTGCCCTTTTTTAATTGTAATATTTTTTAATTTAATAAATTGACTGTACTATCGAGACAGTATAATTTGGCTGCAGGACAACAACCACTAAAATTTCAGCATGTATATACGAATTGATCAAGCTTAGAAATCAGTGTACATACATATTGATAACCTTTCTTTTTGGGAATCAGTTAAAATAGGCTATGTTTGGGTCTAACGTAACATCTGGTTAATATTTGGGCGTTCTTATTAATAATCTCTTGATGTTGTAAATAAAAAAGGTTTTATTCTATACTCTAATACTTAGCCTTAGTCAATAAACAAAGCAATTAAAATAAAATAGTTGCGTTAAAATAACATCGCGATTAGCTGATCACTCCGTATTAGTTTTAAATAGGCACCCATTGTTAATATAATGTTAACACTTAGAGAAGTTGGTATCTATATATAAACATTTGAGTTTTACACAGAGCGTTGCGATTAAATTTTTTAAACACAAATAGATAATAAATATTTTTAAAAGAAAATTGTGATTTTATCCCCACAACTAGCAACATTTGTATTATGAGAGCTTAGGTAAGTATTTTTTTAGTTTTACGTACTTATAATGAATTAAATGTATAAACTTATATGTGAAATGTAATACCATCACTTCTTTTATGTTTATCATCACCGTTGGGACAATATTTTACAACACAAACGGTAATTTTTACAATTTTTCGCGAGCTCTTCTCCGTAGGACGTGACGTTGCGCACTGACGCGTCGCTGAGTCAACTAACGCGGTTTCGCGTTAGTATAACTTGCTTCACTTTCGGTGCGCGTACTAGTTTCTATGCGTAATAATTCTATGTGAAAAACATTCATCAACACAAAATAATAAATAATAAATTTGACAGACGCCAATATAATGAAAATGTTGCTAGGCATAGTAAAATATTTTACCCCATTTTTTTTCTTATTATTATAATTATAAAAAAATGCATATTGAAAAAAATACATACATGCTGCCAATAGTCTGATTCATATATAAATAGGTATTTTTATTTGCCAAATATTTTTAGGATTCCCTTTGCCACGAAAAAAAATATGTTGATTTTATTTTGTTTTGATAATGTGCAGTTGTTTTTACTTTTTTATTGTATGTGTTTTAGGATATATAATATAGCCTATGATTTTTTTAAATTCTAATTAACATATATTTAACATTTTAGTTCGACTCTTTTATGAATCTAAAAAAGATAACATTTCGAGGATAGTGTCATGAAAGCGGCAGTTCTTTAGAAAACATTTGCAGTTTCAGGGTCATTAAGAGATATTTTTTAAGTACTTGGGTATATTTCATTTTATATTTTTAATAAACATTTTTAATTTCATGTTTTATTTGAATAACTATCTCCTTCCGAATCTTATTTTGTTTTAATGCAAACATAATATCCAATAAAGTAATAATAATAATCACTTGAAGCTGACCGCGCTCTTAAGTCTCGTGATTCCTTCTAATATTATATCCATTCTGTGAAAGTTGCATGTTGTAACCTTTACGTTGAAACCGATTTAAATTAAATATATCACGTAGATTCTTAGAATGGCAAGAATTGAGATCAGTGTATGCTTTAATATGCGGGTGTAGCCGCGGGCCACAGCCAAAGTTAGTACGGAATTACTAATGAAAAAATATCTGACAGCTAAAATGATTATCTGACAACTATTCACTTGTTAAATTTAAGTTGGACTGGATTGGAAAAACTGGAAGAAATAGACGTAGGTATTTGCCTCCTCCATTTCTTCCACTTCTCTATTTATATCATAGAATAAGGCCATTGAGTATTATATAAAAATTAATATTTACAAATAGTATAACATTTTATGGAAGATAAATAACAAATATTTATATAAATATACCGCTTCTAAAGGAATAATATAATTACATAATAGATTTGTTAATATAACACAAGATATTACGTATATAAATAATTTAAATATTACACAAGTTACCAAAAATAAATAATGTTACATTTTTCTCTTTGCAAATAGTTAATAAATAATTATAAACGCAACCTAAATATTAATTCTATGTCGATGTCTACTATTACATTTTCCGCACTTTTTGGGGAAAATGTCATTAACTTGCAAACATTACTGATTTGCTTATGAAAGTGTGGGCAAACTTAATTACAGGCCGCTTATGCACACATTCATTGTGTTGTAGCTTCAACTTTGAACGGAATTTTGAATGTCACTATCACTCTATGTGTAATTACTCTAAGTTTATCGAGATATCCTTCTAGGCAAAGTTGCGTCTGTTACATATAACTTTGCCTATGACTTTGAGTGCTTGTAATTTGAAAGAACAGCATAGATTAAAAAGATTTGTAATCTAACTGGCCAAGGCCAGACCATATGTCTGTTTTTAGTCTAAAACTCATATAATAGTAAATACTTTCAGAGATACAAACAAACAATATCAAAATCCAGGCAAAGTTGCAGCATTACATGGTAATAATACAAATCTCATTGTTTTTTTTTTTGTCAGCTAAGGTGACTTGAGTTATTATCATCAACAACTGTTCGCCGAGTTACGATGTCATAAAAATTCCTAATAACTTCGTAATGTGATGCATCAACATATTGTGAAAAGTTTTGTAAACAAAATACAAATAAGTCTTGGTTGTATGGCTTGCAACTTTTGTATGCCTTATGGCCAATCGTAACATTATATGTCATGGCTCCAGTACACGTTGGCCGAGCGCACTTGGCGAGCGCACTCGGCAGATTTTCGTGGGGCCGTTCACACGTTGGCGTGTTTCATTCTGCGTTGGTAGCTACATGATGATGGACGTTAGGGCAATCGCGGCCGCTGTCATAATATACTTATACAGCGCTTCACTCTTCTCAGAGTGAACGAAAAAAAACTACACATACAACAATAATCCCAGTTTGTCCTTTTTAGGGTTCCGACCTCAAAAGGAAAAAAGAAACCTTTATAGGATCTACTAGCTGACCCGTGCCCGCTTCGTTGGGGGTTTTTTCAAAATAAATGATAGCCCAAAAGAAGCCCCTAAGCTACATTATCCCTGAGCAACATAAACGCAGAGATAATTTATAATAATATTTATCATTAGGTAGGTACTCTGAAATCGCAACTAAACATGTATTATTTAATGCAGTTAGGCAAGTTACTTACTCTGGTTTTATTTTTATGTTGCTCATGTTTGGGGTTCCATATAACTGATTCATTGTGAGAATCAATCAATGAACAATGAATCAATATTTCACTCCATAATTATTAAATCGTAATGTGTTGGTATGCATATAAGTAACATTAAAAATATATTATATTGAATTATATATTTTTTCATAATATATAATATTTATTTATATATATACATGCGTATGTGTGTGTGTGTGTGTGTGTGTGTGTGTGTGTGTGTGTGTGTGTGTGTGTGTGTGTGTGTGTATAATGTATATATTTGTATTGTATATGTATATTTATATAAGTACACACTTTGACTACCTCTATTTACTTCAACTATACTTCAATAGGCCTGCTGGAAGAAATTTCATCATGGAATAGGCAGTGCCTTTGTACATAATTATGTTTTTACATTTTCCTATCGAATTATGTGTGTACATAAACTGTTAAATAAATAAATAAATATTTCCTCATTAGTTCATGTCGCCACGTTGAAACAATTTTATTAAGCCGACACTACAGTCTACTCCGACGCGTAACTATGAACTGAACACTCGGCCAACGTGTGAACACTCTTTGCGGGTTGCGCCAAATTCCTTTGATTTGTGCACGGAAAACCGACACTATACGGCTCGTCGGCGAGCGTTGGCCGCAAACGCCAAATATATACAAAACGGCCCAGTACACGTTGGCCGAGCGCACTCGGCGAGCGCGCTCGGCCAACGTGTACTGGAGCCATCAAGCTTATCTTGACAAGTTGTCACTTGTCACCATGTCAGGTTTATCAAGTCAGGGTTTTTTGTAATGTTTGGTTTTTTCTCTCAAATGTAATTTTTTAAATTAATGTGATAATAAAGTAAACGGATATGGCATTTTTAAAGGAATTTCTTATACTTGTTATTGTTTTTGCTATTATTAAACGTAGGTTTAACTTGATAGTTATCACTCTTTGTCTTAATTTGAACAGCAGATGCAAATAATATCTATATTTTTAAACTTCAGCGTTTGACTGTGAAAGGCTTCATGAACAGATATATTCCTCAATTGAAGGTGGTGCAGCGTGTTTCAAAAGGCTAAATGGAACTCATCAGGCCGGTTGTTCTTGTAGGTTTACATTTTTTATGACGTTATTATTTTTAGTTGGTGTATACAGTATACATCGTCGATCGATCGTATTAAGTGGTAAATTATGATAAACCTCGGCAAAACAAAGATGGGCAGTTTATCAATATAATATGTTTAAACAGTTATGAGGCAGAGTCAAAGACTTAAATACTTAATTAATATTTAATTTTTGTATTTTCATATTTGTATTCAAACTACTTAGCAATGGCATTTTATAAACAAATATTTTGCAGCTTCTGATAAGGGCGCAGTAGGTGTGGTGCAGATGATATATGATGTAACTGATGCACAATGGTTGGTTTACAATGCTACAGTTGGACCATGCATAGCCGTAATCAATACTGCTCTGTTTCATGATGTCATTGAGCTATTAATGGCCAAACCTGCTAATGTAGCAGGTATCATTGTTTATCATAATGCAACAACAAGGTACACAAGAAAGTCAAAAAACATTTATATAATTAGTTTGTTTTTATAATTTATAAATTAAACATACTATTACAGCCTATTAATGTTCACTGCTGAACATAGGCCTCCCCCTTAGATTGCCTCTTAGATCCCTCTATTTGCAATAGTGTTATATAATTTTGGATATTTATAAAAACTTTTAAAGCCATACTTTTTACATATAAAAATGTTTGAGTTGGTTAGTGTAAAAAAATATTATTAAAGTATGGGTGTTAGTTCGTAATGATGTTCAAATGCTGTGTATGATATTGTGACAGGGGATGAAATATGGATATATTATTACATTCCGGAAAGAAGGAACATTATTCTGTATGGGTGTTCAAAGGTGACAGCAAACCAACAAAATTGAATTCCCCTGGTGTTGCGGTTGTTCATAGGTGCTGGTAGTCACTTACCATCAGGTGAGCCGCATGCTTGTTTGCCCCTCTTCTATAAAAATGGCAGGAAATGTGGGCAAAAAATTATTGTGTTTTTTTTTCTCCCAGAAAGCTTTTATCTACATGACTTTTGAGCAAAAGACAGTTAATGCTAAATGGTACACCACTATTTGTTTGCCCAGTCTCTGAAAAAGTTAGGGAAAAATGAGCAAGAAATTGCATACTATTCCAACATGATAGTGCTTCGGCAATCTGACATTTGCACTCCGTAAACAAGACTAAGCTATTTAACCATCCTGCATATAGTCCAGTCCTTGCACCATGCAATTACTTTATTCTCCAAAAGGTCAGTCAAAAGTTTAATCCAAAATGCAACATTTTCAGAGCCAGAGGGGGCCATGATAACTTTTAAACAGCTCATGTATTCCATTTCAAGCAACATGCTCTCAGATTAATTGTGATTATGTGTTCAAACCAGAACAAATGAAAAAGTGTTTGAAATGTTATGAAGAATGCTTTGATTCATCCATCTATTACAGTGTGTAAAAGACCACTGCTGAACATAGGCCTCCCTCATAGATTGCCTCATGGGAGGATTTTGCCACAGTTGGCAAACTATGGCAGTTTTTTATTATTTTAAGTTGTTATCATTTAGATGCTTCTGCCTATCTTGTGTTTCATTTTCCCTCTGTTGCCTCTTACGACACCCTCAGGACATGGGGTGGCAGATATTCTTACACTGCCACTACACAATTAGCTTCAAGCTTTGATATAAGCAATAAATATATTAGTTTACATATAAAATATATTATTTTTGAGTTATGCAAAACTTTCAGTGTACCCCACGTACTTAAAAATGTTAATGTAGTTTTAGTGGTCCATGCATAAGTACCATATCTTTGTTTTTTGTTTTAAATAATGATTATGCAAGGATTTTTCTTTTAGTTGTTTTTCACAAGATATTTTAAATGAGTTGTCTCTCTCATTATTCTTTTGTGTATGGATCACATAATGTTTTTAATTTACAGACCTACCACATTTAGTCAAGAGTCTAAATGCCCAAATGAATATTCTTCTGGCCCTGGGAGCCAATGTTTATCTTCTCCAACCAGTAGTAATGTATGGAATGAAGGAGGTACTGGTTTAATAAGAAGAGACATTCCTTATCCAATATTCTATATTCCTCAGACTAGACTTGAGGAAATAGAAAAAATTGAAAATTGCTATAAAAGGTAAAACATTAAATATTATTACTTCTTACTAACTGTTCCTCGCGACTTCGCCTGCGTTTAATTATATTGCGCGGAACCCTAATTATTTTTCTAAAATATAAGTAGCCTAAGTTACTCTTAATAACATCTGCTAACTGCCAGTGAAAGTCCCGTCGAAATCGGTCCAGCCGTTTCAGAGATTAGTCGGATCAAACAAACAAACTTAAAAAATTTAAAAATTGTGTGTTTGTTATAATATACCGTATATACTTTCATATACATTTAGTAAAAATCTGTTAATTTGACATTACAAACAGACACTCCAATTTCATTTATTTGTATAAATAACTTGCAAGTTGTACTTTTTACTAATATTAAAATTAATATTTTAAAAGTCAGGGAATAAGTGCAATAAATCAACCATAATTTGTTATGACTCCAGGCTGGGTCATATGCGTAATTTAGCAACAAGTTAGGCTGAGAATTTTCTAGTTCTAGTTTTGCATATTGGACAAATTTATACTTGATCATGTAGTGGCGGCGTAAGAGAATGAACTATCCGGCAAAATTCCCAAAAAGTTTGTGGAAGTTCAAACAGTGTTATGCACAAGCTTTGCAAGGCCCGAAGAAGAGATAGAGGCGATGTAGGTATCAGGACATCTCTAGAGCCAATAATTCCTCAAAAACCTTCTCCACTATGGTATTGATAAGAGACTTCAATGCGAACCTAGTCGCAGGAAATGATGGTGAGCTACAGTTGAGGACATTTGAAATATAGCAGCGGAACTCATGAGATATTACAGAAGTGGCCCCACAGAATGCTTTCGGAAGCGGGCGGAAAACCGATACTTAAAGTCTTTCAGGAGTTTTTTTTTAAAATTAGTAGCACTTCTCCAGAGGCGTGGAGCAAAAGTGTGGTGATTTTGTTCTTCAAGAAAAGCAACAACACGCTGTTGAAGAATTACTAACCGATTTTTCTTCTGAGCCGCGTCCACATGCTTGTTTTGAGTGTCATTACGAATCGTCTCGTAAGCAGACTTGACGACCTCTAGCCTACCGGACAAAGTGGTTTCTAAAAGGGCTTTAGGACCATGGACAATATACACACTCCTCGGGAAATTGTATGTAAGGCCGAAGAGTACTATCTGCTGCTTTGTCTTTTGTATGTTAACTATGAGAAAGCCTTTCATTACGTTAAATTTTAAGCGGTCTGATCTGACTTGGTTTATATGTAATAAATTAACCAGTAATGCTATGATAACTATATGAGTTCAGAACTGGAGTATGTACCTAAATACATTTAACTGCGGTAAGGTATAGTATAGGGTAGTTCTTTATAGCCCTGAAACTCTTCACCACTGCATTGGTTGGGTTTTCAAGCTATTAGACAAAAAGTAATACGATATCAACGTCAATGGTGAACACATCATTTGCATTTGAAATAGAAATCATTGGCATCCTTTTAAACTAGAAACATATCATACAAACTAGATGTGGATTTCAATTACGCAAATTTAAAGTTTTAATACTGCATGGAGGGGAAAATCATATTAACCACTTCAAGTTGAAATCTATAGAAATAAATAAAATTGAAGTGTCTGTTTGTAATGTTAAAATAACAGCTTTTTACTAAAGGCATATGAAGATATATACGGTACCAATAACAAAAAAAATCATTTTTGAAATTTTTGTCTGTCTGTCTGTTTGTTCCGGCTAATCTCCGAAACGTCTAGACCAATTTTGACGGGACTTTCACTGGCAGATAGCTGATGTTATAAGGAGTTACTTAATATACTTTTCTGCTGACTTCCAAAAAGGAAACGGTACTCCATTCGACGCGTATGTTTTTTTTTATTTTTTTATGTGTGTTACCTCATAACTTTTTACTGGGTGAACCGATTTCGATGATTTTTTTTAATATGAAAGTTGATACTTCTCGTGTGGTCCCATATGAATTTGATCAAGGTCAGACCAATAGTATTTGAGTTATTCTTAATAACTTATATTGAAGTCGGCTGTACAAAATTTTTAATTTTAAATTATATCCAGTAACGATATGAATGGTGCAAACTTTTTCTAAAATAAAAAAGAATTAGGGTTCCGCGCAAAAAAATTAAAATTCCACGCGGCCGAAGTCGCGAAGAACAGCTAGTTTACAAATAAACACGATAAAATAATAACAACAAAATTAATAATTAACATAAATAAGTTGTGAACTCTCAAAAGCAACACCTGTCAAAGATCTCAACGTCTTAGTATTTTGCTTATTTTGTTACTGGTAAGTATTGTTGTTTATTTTTTCCTCTTCGCTACTCGTTACTTGTTTAATTATTTTTGTCGCCCCGGCCTTGTCTGGTTGGGATCTATTAATGGGACATTATTTAGATTTTTTTTTATTTTTATTTATCAATTCATTGGTTTCTGAAAAAAATTCTCGATAAAATATAGCTTAGATCACTCTTGACCTTGCTCTTTATCAGTTCTTGACGTTTTACCAAAACCGGTTCAGCATTCAGAAGATTATCCCGAACAAACAGACAGAGAGACAAACATTTCAAAAATGTTTATTCATGTCTTAATAACATGCAAGAAGCCCCCTCTCTAAATTTAATAAAATGCCGTTATGTGGATATTACAGACAGACACTTCAATTTTATTCATATGTATAGATATGAGTAGATGAATAGATGCCAATGATTCCAATTTCACCCTGTAGTAATTATAGCAGAGCTCCAAAATTCCTATCTTACAAGTCAAATAGGATAATATCCCTAAACAATTTGTGTTTGATAGAAATACAAGATCCAATTAAAATAAACTAACCAGCCGGAGGGTTTAAACCTAAAAGAACTTAGAATTTTCACGGATTGTTCCAAAATAAATGAAGGTACAGGATCTGGATCTTTCACGGAAGACTTCAATGTCCACATATGTACACCTCTGTGTACCCACAACATAGTCTTTCAGGCAGAATGTATGGGTATCATCCAAACGGCCATAGCAATAGATGCTAGGAAAGTAAAAGACTCCTCCATCAGAACACTGACCGACATCATAGCGGTACTACAAGCTCTGAGTTGCAATGTGGTAAACTCGGGACGAATATACGAATGCCATCAACAACTAAATGAGGTATGTGAACACAACAATGTGACTCTGCAATTGATAAAGGGACACAGTGGATCCAGGGGCAATGACGCAGCAGACTAACTGGCCAGAAGAGGATTGGCTCTGGCCAGTTAGGCCCAAAAGAGGATCAGCTATGGCCAGTTAGGCCCAAAGCCGATCCTCTATAGCGCCGGATTCAATCATACCAATCCCCTTTGGTAACATTCGTTCACTGGTACGTAAAAACTTTACTAACCAACACGCTCAGTTTTGGCAAAATTTAGTAGACTGTAGACAAGCTAGGGAGGCCCTGCCTGAAATAAACAGCCGTTTAACCAAGGTTTTAATGAGATTGAACACAGTTGATTGTGGCTACAGATCAGAATAGTAAAAAGTGCTATCAACAGGACATGCTCCTTTAACAAACATTTATTTACCATAGGTGTTACAGATAGTCCCCTGTGCAAGGCATGTATGGGGAGGAAGAAACGGCGGCCCACGTATTGCTGACATGTCCGGAGGTCGCTGCATATAGGGCTAAACATCTAGGCACGCCGGGATCACTCCCCGAAGTTGCTCAAAACACCAAAGAACTGTTAAACTTTTTCGGGGAGATTTCATGGATCGAATAATTGCATTATTCCTGCCCACACGCAAAATAAGCGCTTAGACGCGGGGTTGCAGAAAACAGCAAGTGGTTATCTAGCTATCGTTATCTAATAATAGCAGAGTCTGGTAGACCTTAGTACTATGTTCAATCACCTCAATAGTGTTTCCCAACAGATAGGTATTAAGATGACCCCATTGAACGGGTTCTCGCCTTGACGTGGGGAGGGCTTAGTACCCGAGGCTTGTTCACCCACTGTAAACTAACTAACCCACATGGTTGTCCCGAGGTGAAGACTACTTCGAGTGGGTTCGGCAAACCCACTTGGGATGTGTGTTAGTGGACTACGGGGTGTTTTTGCTCCCTCTACCGCAGCAATCGAGTTGGAGTCGCGCGGAAGGAAGAGAATCGACTAGGTAACTCCAACTTCGACCAAGAGACCCATCGACATATTCCGAGGTATAGTGAGAGGACATGTGTCGATTGAAGGATCATAAAAAGTGTAGAATCAGTGTGTTTGAAACTAAGACATGCTGGCCGTACAGGATACTTAAAGTCGTTCAGCGAGCTACGGAGAGTGCTATGCTCGTAGTTACTGTGCGTGATATATCGGTAACAAATATATCTGCACTTGATGCAGAGTAACCCACATAGCCAATCAATCGGATCAGCAAGCTAGAAGTGACTGCGGCTATAGAGCTTGAACCACTGTCAACCGATGCGGAAGAAGGGTACATATGTTCAATTTGTCATATCGGAATTTTCGGACCGATTGTTACTTCAGTTTAGGTACTTATCATTACTTATATTTATTTATAGGATTTTATTTATTAGGATTAATTTACAATACATTTAGTTACGATGCTTCCGCCCACGGATTTGTATCTCACACTTAACAAGATACTTAATTTTATCTACAATATTAAAAACTACGATAATAAAAAAGAAAAACTAAAACTAGAAACTTAATTATCATATAGTCCTACTCCCCGCGGTATCGTGCCAAGAACGCTGGCTGCGTTTCCCCGCTGAATGGCTATACTTAGCCTTTGAGCGAGGAAAGAACCAGCCCTCTTACCACCAGCAGCAACGACCAGCCGCGGATGGAGTTCCTTTAGGAACTTCACCGCACGTGGACCCCACGGAAATTGTATGACCTATTGTATTTGTATGACCTACAATAATAATTTTAAAGGTTCTGGATCTTGGTCAGATTCCATTTTATGTAAGTAAGTTTATAATACGTCTTCACGATACAGGAGAAATTATAATATATTTGATCTAATTTTTGTTTAATGTAATAATAAAATATATTTATTTACGTAATTGTTTATGTTATTTAATTTCAGATATAATCTCGACAGATTTAACCAAGAAGGCAAACCCCTCTGCTCACTTCAGCTAAATTCTTTTATGTTTGCTGCTGTGAACAGTGCAGTTTGCTTAAGAAGGTTAGTTTGAGATAAATTAATTAAATTGTTGAAATATTTTATGCTGATGGATGTATTTATTACAGCAAATTTTAGTGTAAATAATAAACTTTAAATTAATCGGATAAATTTAGGTTCAGTTATGAGCGTAGACTAATGTTATCTTTTTAACCGACTTCAAAAAAGAAGGAGGATTACAATTATACATTTTTGTATGCAAGTTCGCCAATTGAGACCTGATTTAGGTGATCCTTTTTTTATTAAATAGGTTACACTTAGAGTGTGATCCCATATACATTTCGAGAAATCAACTAAAATAGGGGATGTATTTAGGCGGCATTGTGCATGGCATGGCATTACATCCTTAGTCCACACAAGAGTTAATAAACATTTAACAAAAAGTAATTCCAAATTCAAAGAACTAAAAGGAATAAAATAATTTTACAATCTGAAGTCGATGCTAAGGCTTAGCGTATAGAAAAGTTAAAGTCGGCAATTACCTTTTGTTTTTTGTTTTTTTCTTATGCTAAATAAACAATAACTAAAACTACATACCACTTGGTCAAACTGAAATGTAATCGATTTATTCATGGCTATAACTAGGTGTAGCCAGTAGCCAGTAGGTTAAGATGTACTAAGATTAAACGTAATATAGAAATAATTAGTGTACTAAATTGCTATAAAACTATTTAGTTGTTTGCTCTATTTCTTTGACGTTTGGTAACATTAAAAATTTTGTACAATCGAATTTAATATAAATAAAATGAGAACGTCGTCAATGTAGTCGAAGTCAATTAAATACGCATTATTAAGGATAACTCAAAAACTATTGGTCAGATGTTGATCAAATTTATATGGGACCACATAAGAAGCACCAGCTCTCTAATCAAAAGAATAATCAAAATAGCTTCACTGAGAAAAAAGTTCTGAGGTAACACACAAAAATTTATACGTGGTAAAGCCATGCTGCAGCTATATTAATAAATATCTCAGATGTATAGTTGTAGCACGAATGGGTCGACTCGACCGCACTAAGACCACGCTCTCACAGAATATCAGCGTAAAATAGCAGCTTAATGCTGTTGTGTTTCGTATGGTGAGTGTAGAAAACCGGAGACCCTTTTTACTAGAAAAGAGGCATTCCATTTTAGTCCTCTTGGCTGACAACGCATCTGCGTTTTGATTCGCAAACGAGGATAGATGTAGATGTTTATTGGCCACAACAACCATTTACCATCAGGTGGATTGTGCTCGCTTGTCACCCTTATTCTATAAAAAAAAAAAACCAGTCAAATTGCGTACCTCCTCCTTTTTTGAAGACGTTTAAAAATTGAAGCTGCATGTAACTTTTTTAGAAAACATTTTAACAACAAATTTATTCAAAAACTAGGTTGGTAATTGCTAAGACAGTAACAATGTATTGATATTTTTTGGCACAAGCAAATAATTGGTGTTTTAATATTTTTCAGGTCAGCAACGTCAGCACTTCTTACACCTACAAAAGTCTGTGACCCATTAGGTGATCAAAATGTGCACTATTCACTATTCCCATTGGAAAAGGTAATTTGTTTGGTTTACGATAAATTTCTTAAATCTATTATCATCTTTTTTTAAACACGATATATGCAATCTTTAGTTTATAACTCCAACACCTTCTTACCACACAATTCGATATTTTATTCTTGCGTTCTATGAACCGTCTTTATTATGTATCCTTGCTCGCATATCTGCGAGTATTTAACCAGGTGTCCTCGTAGGTAGGGAATGTAATCTCGCGGATCCGCAATCCCATAAATGTGGGATCCATGAAAGAATGAAATTAGCGGGATTAAAATGCGGGATAACACGTGCGGGATCCGCAAGATTTCCGCAAATCGCATAACATCATGAACGGCACGAATGCACGATAATAGGGGATCCCCAAATCAAAGTACGTATCTGTGTTTGAGCCGAGTGACTAGTGAATGGGAATTACTCTCTGTACAGGGATTTCCCAAAATATCTGTCGCGTGATTTTATTGCACTATTTTAGTCGTGACTCGTGAGTTCGTGCGTAGTTTCTGACATGCGATTTAAATTGAAATAAACGGTTTATTTTTATATAATATATCTAAAAAGGTAAAAGTCATCACAGATTTTTTTAAGTCAACAAAATTTTCCATGGAAGAGAGAATATCCCGGTCCCTAAGAATGGTCCAAAGTCCCAGGATGTCATACCATTCTCAAAGTTTACGACATCTATTGACTTACGAGAACTTACGAGAAAACTTTACATTTACATAATTTTACACGTGCCGCAAAATCCGATTAAATGTAAAAGATGAAACTTTAAACACCTTATGTGTTATACTCCGAAAACAATTTCAGAAGCAAGTGTCCGAATCTCATTGATAATTTTTTTCAGACTTTAATTCACATAACATAATTTAGATTTTATCACTATTTCTGATCCAAATTTAATTATACTATTTGTTTCTCTTAAGTAAATTCTATTGTTTCATTTACTGACTTAGAAAATGATGTTGTGGGCTAATAATTATAGAATATTGTAAAATCCTGCAAATCTTGCGGATCCGCGGGACTGATGGTCTCAATCTTGCGGATTAGCAAGATTATCTTTTGAGTGCTAGATTGCATCCCTACTAATAGGCCTATACATTCTTAAGTATCTACACTACGTTTTCTTTGATCATCATTTTCGTTTGTTTTGTCATCGGCGTTTTTTCCAAGTGGCTGCTACTTCGGCATGCTGGTGAAAGTGCAGACGCTTATTTTGTACAGTTTTATATCATAATCATGATGATCATCATCACCACCAGGACTCCCCCGAGGAATATTACAAAACAGTAATAAAGTAAATACCTAGTCAGGTCATAAATTCTGTCACATGTTTAATATAAAATAATTGAAACAAGTTTATTCATTATGTAACCATTTAATAATTAAAATGAACTTAACAAAACGTAGATTCTTATGACACTAAAGTTTATTCAAAATGACCTCCGTGATTTTGAATACAGGCCTTCAATCTGCGCGGCCAGTCGTCTATCGCAGCACGAACGAGGTCCATGTCAATATCGGCGGCTGCCTTAATCAAGGATGTCTTGAGTGACTCCACATTGGGATGAGGCTTTGAGCACGCCTTTTCCTCCAAGTGTTGCCATATTTTGTAATCTAACGGATTCAAATCTGGACTGGAGGAGGGCCAGTCTTCGTGCCGGATGAAGTCGATTTCACGCGCCACCAGCCAGTCTTGTGTGCTCTTCGCTCTATGAGCTGGCGCCGAATCTTGTTGGAATACCCAGTGCCTGTTATTGGACATGGTATGAGAAATAGGTTCCACAAGGTTCGTCAGGACTGTATTTTGATACACAACTGCATTCGTTTTTACACCTTTCTCAGAAAAATGTACCTCTGTTAAGCCCCAATAAGAAACTCCCAACCATACCATGAGCGAGGATGGAAAATGACCTCGTTGGACACGCGGAATACGGTTGCTCGCTTCTTCACTACTGTGTGCGTACACCTTATCATTTTGTTTGTTGTAGCTCTCTTCTACGGTAAAAATTTTTTCATCCGAAAAAAGAATTTCCCGATATTTTTTTTCCGCGTACCGCTTCAATAAAGCGCGGCATCTTTTCAGTCTCAGGTCCACTAGACGAGCATTCAAACGATGTCCTGTTTTTCTTCGATATGCCCGAAGCCCTAAGTCTTCATTTAACACCCTTTTCACCGTGGTTATTCTTAACCCCATCTGAAGGGCCAACAGTTTCTGCTTACGTTTGGGATTTATTTGAATTCGCGCCTTCACAGCTTTTATCACTGCTGGAGTCCTAACAGACCGAGGGCGACCACTTATTGACCTGTCATCTACACTAGAGTCTTCATTGTATCGTTTGATGGTACGATAAACGAATCTTTTGGTTATATTCAAATTTTTCAGTATGTCAAAAATTTGAATTGGTGCGTAACCGCAACGATGCAACGCAATAACTGCAACACGGTCTTCTTTAAGCATCCACTCCATTTTTAAAAATGAGTAAAATTCTAAAAAGTATACCGTTTTATTTTCACGAACAATTCGAATTCAATAAACGTTTTTGTGGCCAGCATTCTAAAAGAAAAGTTTTTACTGTGTGACAATACTTATGACCTGACTAGGTATTTGTCATTATAATAAGTAGTACATGCGTTAGAGCGTTAATATAAAAAGTTTTGCAGGTATGCCATTACTTCCTGGACTCTTGTGTATCGGCTGTATAGTGGCCTATTCCACATTCTTTAAAGTAGGTAGACGTAAGTCTGGACTGCCTACTTTGGAATTAAATTAATTAGTTCCAAACTTATACCACTGTTAAAAATATAATTGATGCAATGTATAGAATTTCTGGTCAATGGTATAATATAATAATCTATTATGTGATCTTACAGGGAGAAGAGGTAAAGAAAAAACCAATTACTTTAGTAACTGCTAGAATTGATACAGCATCATTGTTTGATGGTGAGTCAAACTATTAAAATAGTTTTCTTTTTGTAATATAATACGACAAGCACCAGTGATGGTGACACTTGCTTGATATTCATAAACTGCTTTGTAAAGGCAAATTTTTAATAAAAATTGTACTAATACTTTCGCGGTAAAGTTGTTGCATTTATGTAATTTTTTATTTTATAGGTATGGCACCAGGAGCAGCCAGCTCTGTGGTTGGGATGGCGTCCTTGATAATGTCAGCGGTCACTCTGTCAAAGATGATACCTGTCGCAAATTCCAGTCTATACGGTGTGTATATTTTCAACAGCATATAGGTGCCAAGCATTTTAAAGTATTTTATAATATGGGAAATTTTCGAGGCTTTGGATTAGAGCACGAGAGTGACAAATAGTTGACTTCATTAAATGTGACCTCTCCAACTTAACATTAAGGTTCAATGTGCATTTTACCATTTGATGATCGCTATCAGTTTTCCCCCTTGCGATCAATGAGACATCACTGAACAGTTGCCGTGTGGACTTCATAATGAAGTCAGTCTCATTTTTTATGGAACCGTCGGGGCTTTCCAGGTCCTCTTTCTGTAGGGCCCCGTTTTGGAAAAAAAGAGCTTATTATAAAGAGTCCCTACTTCTCCATGAAGTCGGCCAATTGTTAACGTACTTACTTTTACTTCACCGCTTTCTCTTGTGTTAAAGTCACCCATTAATACCGTATAGTGGGTTATATAGGTATGCATGAGTCTAGAGATATCCTCATACTTTTCCTCCACCTCCCAATTGGTATGTGCCGAGGTTAGTGCGTAAATAAACCTGACACCGTGTAATTGCCCTGCCGATAATAGAACAAGTTGCCGGATTTGAGGATTACCGTGTACTTCCCCTCTCTTCGTACATCATATAATCCTATAATATCTCAGCGCAACTTTTCTTTCTATCTCTTCTTCCAGCTTCAGGATCTTATCGTAAGCCTTCAGAGTGCGTGCGTTGAATATTGCCAGGTCGAGTCGTCTTAGGTGGCAAACAAACCTCCACCGGAGACTCTTAGCATCCCACAGATCTGTAAATTTGTCTTTAACTTCATTTTAAATTGTTTTATGCCAAGATTCCAATTAGTTTTATACACTTAATATAGACTAATTATGTCTGAAATAAAAATTGTTATTGATTATTTGTTATGGCTATGTTTATAGGTATCTTAATGTCTACTAAGTATCTAGGGCCATTTTTCATCATGTTTCTGTAAATGACTACATAGCCGAAGGAGAAAATCGGAAGAAAAAATAATTTACGAATTCCGACTGTCCACCCCGTCTGGGTGATGTAATGCACACGCATTTCCGAGTATCCACCCAACGATCCTTATGAATACAAAACTAAATTACAGCCCATATTATTATGAATTGTATGAGCTCAGAAAATAGTTCATCATCATCATTACAGCCCTTCACAAGTCCACTGCTGAACACTGCTCCCCGAAAGATTGTATCGTAGGAGGGATATTTGCAATAGTTGCCACGCTTGGCACTCAAGTTGGCCATCTACTGCTTTATTTCCTCTGTCGCCTCTTACGACATTCAACGGGTGACATGGAGTAGTGGATACACTTACGCCGCCAATACGCGGCGGCTGAATTATTAAAAACTGCATAGGCCCCATGATGTGAAGCATTGTATTTTATTTACAGAGCGCCTCTGCCTTGTCTTAATCTTCCTAGACAACGAAACTTACTTGTGCCCGATGTTACGCTTATCCGATAAAGATAGGAGATCAGCTCTAGACTACGTTAGTCGGCAATTTTCTATACTATGGTAGCAGGGTGACTACTACAACCTTAGATTATGTACGTCCAAAACTGCTTGATATTGATTTGACTAGTCGTTATCTTAGTTAAGTAATGAAAGAGTAATAAAAGTTAAAGGTTTGGAAACATTTTAATAATATAACAAGTATGAAAATTACAAACTCCAATATAATTCTGTTATAGTTTAATTCAAAAATTTATGGCAACACACCCAATGGTATTTTGTGATAAAGATTTGGTAAAATTTAGTAAAATATTTGCACAGATAACAACGTATTGTGGACATTGTTTAACGGCGAGGCGTTCGACTACATTGGTTCGCAGCGGGTCGCGTATGATTTGAGTCGTGGTGCTTGGCCCCCGTTTTCTCCTCTTACCCCGTCCGATATAAATTTACACGTAGAGCTGGGACAAATTGGTGGCTCGCTGCAAATTTATAAGGAGAATGCTTCTTGGCCCTTGTACGCTTACGCTGCGTCCAGTTTTTCGCAAGTAAGTTAATAATAAATGTATATTTTCAATATAAGAGCGTTGATTGTTGGTGGCCGCATAACAGACATTACACCATCTCATGCAGTAGTAGGTATCGTAAGAAACGATGTAAAATAATGTTTTTCACTAAAATATCTTAACTGCACTTTTATTAACCGATATGACATGCACTATAAGAACGATATGTTCTCCTACAAATATTAGTAATTATCTTTTTAAGCACTTACATCAACGATGGTTAAGCTTATATGTTTTGGCGTTGTTTTATACGAGGGTTATGTGAAAAGAAACTAGATACTTATATACTTAAACAGTGGTAGAGCCACGCGGCAGCTTTTGCTGTCGCACGGATGAGCCGGCTCGAACCGGGGTGGTACCACAACCTCACAGAAAACCAGCGTGAAGTAGAGGTTTACCTCTGCGTTCCGCTTGGTGAATGCAGGTGGCCGGAGGCCCTATTTACTGGAGATGAGGCATTCCATCTTAGTCCTCACGGGTGACAACGCTTCTGCATTTTGATTTGTAATAGAGGATAGATGTGGATGTCTATGGGCCGCAGCAACCACTTACCATCAGGTGGACTGTGTGTTCGTTAGTCACCCTTATCCTATAAAAAAAAAACACTAATTATTGTTACTAGTATAGAATATTTCGATGGATTCCTGGAGCATGCATACACTTTCCCATACGTCTAATTCACTAGAAAAAAAAAATACCGCTAACCACACTTAATACAAAAGTTATAATTATAAGCAATCAGAGTATCTATTTTCAAACCAGTTACATAATATGCCTACCGACGTAGTTACATATGCCTACCTTGCATACCGTCCAACCCACATATCATCATAAAGATACCTACCACACAGCACCGCCTGCTAAGCAACTAGCAGCACGTCTTTAAACGTGACGTAAAAACCAAGGTTTAAATGTTAAAATCATCCATTATTTCTGTGAACATACATTGTTACAGGGGTTAAGTTATCTTGTAATTTAGAAAATAAAGTAATATTAGAAAAAGTCTTCGTCTCCTTTCATATCAACCCTCCCTAAGCTGCCGCAAACGTAAGTAACCTCTTAAAAAAATGATTTTTTTTTATTTCTTTACAAAGATCATACATTATACATATAAGTATGGGAATACGTGGGACATTCTTTTAGGTAAATATATATTTGTGGCAGGATGCGCCGCTCTTCTATAGCAATAATTTATTTTGTGTTTATTTAAATAACCATACTTAATATAACTTTATTCTATAGTTTTACTTTAAAAAAATATATTTTCTTCTAACAAATCTTAAATCACACACATCTATTTTTAGTATTGTTTTAAATAAAATAATTGCGGTAATGTTACAGTGTTGTACTCACCTATAATTTAACTACATATATATATTGTTATAACAAAATATAGCCGAAATGTTTTCATATGTACTTAGTTGGTAAGTCTAAATAAATAAATAAACAACACTAAATAAATTAAATGTCGTGTCTGTGGGTACATTTGTAATTCGTCGGTTTTCTTGAATAAGATTTTTGGTTGCTAGAAAATTTATTGAGTGACCGCGATTGTGCGGACTTGTATTCGCTTCATATTTAAAGCTTCCTCGTCGTTCTTTGAATTTAACCTCCCAGTTAAAGATTGTAAGTTATGAACAAGGAGATACACCAAAAATTTAAAATATTGTTGCAGCTTTTAAATTTTTTTATAGTCATTGTAAATCATAGCGCGAAAATCACATCGCCTGAGCTCTATTGCCGCAAATGAATTCTCGCCAGATTTTCTCGGGAAAAGCAATTTTCAAATTAAAATATTTGCAATAATAATTGTTTCATTTTGAAACTTATCAGTAAGTATCCAGCATTTACGACAATGTCTAACATGCCAGTGTGAATGAAATAAGTAAAGAGTCTTATATTTAGCATGTCCATGTATGAAAAAATCATATAGATAGGGAGATTGTTTTTTTTTTATAGGATAATGGTGACAAACGAGCACACAGTCCACCTGATGGTAAGTGGTTGCTGTGGCCCATAGACATCTACATTTATCCTCGTATGCGAATCAAAATGCAGATGCGTTGTCACCCGTGAGGACTAAGATGGAATGCCTCTTTTCCAGTAAAAAGGGTCTCCGGTTCTCTATACTCACCATACGAAACACAGCAGTGTTAAGCTGCTATTTTACGCTGATATTCTGTGAGAGCGTGGTCCTTCCCCGGTCGAGCCCAACCATTTGTGTTACAACTATACCAGAAATATAGCTGCAGCATGGCTCTACCACGTAGAAGCTACTTTTCAACTAAGGAGTCAGACTGAGTTGCTATAACTCTCTAAACTACTTTTGCTAAAAAGTAGGACAGTTCAGCCACTGTTGTTTCGGTTTAACGAGTAAGAGTCAGTGTAATAACATAATGTGAGGCAATATGTTATATCTCTTTAGGAGGGTCAATACGCTTTTCAAAGTGAAACAACTAATCCGTTACGAATTGGTTGCAGGTGTCCTTGAGCTGCATTAGCCACTTACCGTCACATATGTACATTTAACTCGTTTGTGACCTTGATCTTATAAAAAATGTCATGTATTTCGATACATAGTTGATTTATTTCCTTACAGATCACAGAATTTCTGGTAGTAATGTCAGAAAACGCCAACGCTTTTAACATAACTTTAACACCCGAATTTACAACAAATCTGCCACCATCTTCCTTACATTCCTTCCGGAGAATACTCAAAAATGAGACTGAAAGCGGGGACTTGCCTGAAGTGCTACTGATTGATCATCAGGGAAAGTTTACAAATACTTATTACGAGTCGGTTTTGGACGACGATACCAATATTGGATTTATTTATCATAATATTAGTGTTGGACCTGAGGGAAAATGTAAGTGTATAATTTATATATTTATATATATATATATAGTTCTAATTAACAACCTTGTCCGTCCTATCAGAAGAAGAAGTTATAGGTTTAAAATACTCTGGTTCAATAGAGAAGTTCTGTGAAAATATACGAATAAAATGTAAAGTATTGATATTGACATCAAATGTCAAATTTTGCAAAGATTGTGGCACCGCGGCTATACAACTTCTTTCGTGAAAAAACTTTTTAAACCGCAGTTTTAACCGGAGACTAAACGATTAACCACGTTTAGTAATAAGGACGTATAAGTTTTAATCCTGAGCCTGTTTCAGAAACATTGGAACTCTATATGTAATATTTGCATAAGATAGTGACACTTAGGATCAGCGATGAATTAGTATTTAATAGAAGAATTAGTAATATTTGTAGTACGAGTAGGTAAAGCATATCTCCAAAAATGATATTGTAAAGTATGTTTTAGTCCATGTAAAAGCTTTAATTAAGTTATGGTAATACATATTTAAAGGCATTTTGAGAAACCATTTATGATTATATGATTTATTCACACAACATAAAGACAATCTCACATTAAACTAGGCGTTATATTATCACATGAGAATTAGAAGTGTATGCCTGTCTTAGTGAAAACATATTTAGCATAATAATATTGTAGTTGCTCTCGGTTTGCAGCCACACAATGTGTCCATGTTGTAATAAAAATTTTATAGTAATAGTAGTTTAGGCTGCACATTAATAATGAGATTATTTAAAGCAACAACTCTACGAATAACCAACCATTTTTTTTTTTATAAGAAAATGACTTAGTCAAAGTTATTTTTATTTAATGCTTATGGGTCAATTATGAATGTATAGTGTTCGAATTTCAGTCACCCCAACAGACGAGCTACTAGCAAACGGAATCATGAAAGAGACTGACATCCAAGTAAAAATGTCGCGGCTCGCGACTGCACTAGCCCGGACACTTTATCAACGAGTTACTGGCAAGGCATACACTGGTGACATAGCGGCTTCAGCACATTTGGTAAAAGCACATTTTTGTCTAGTAATAAGGTAAAAGTATACTTTGCTACTGTTAATCTTTAAAATTTAACTGTATAACCTTGTAAATTTTTTTTTATTTAATTATAAAAGAGTTCCGCTGGGTTTCATAAAATTATTCTATTCAATTCAATTCTGTTGCAACTTAGAGTTATCAATGTGTTCAAATTGTGTTATATTAAAATGTGTTATAAATTCCCGTTAATCAGTGTGAGTAAGCCTCCGCACAGGCGTTCGGGTGGTTCGCAATAGCAGGCATCTATTACTCGTAGATACCTGTTGAGATCAGCACCTGTAGGGCATGACTTCTTGTAATTGTAAATCAATCAGGTCTGCGTGCGCGCACGTTTAGTCGGTCGTGTCGGAATTAGGAACGCTCACTTTGATTTAAATAAATTATTTTCCATCAGTTAGTACCTATACTATGCATATTCATCAACCTATGTTGTACTTATTCATAAATATTCACGTCTGTCACCCAGAGGGGTAGGCAGAGACTACGGACTTCCATTTGGCATGATTCTGACACACCTGTATCACCTCCGCCACATCCATATACCTACGCATACATGCTCGTCGGTTAAGGGTACTCTTAATTTGGCCCATTTTCAATATATCGTTAATTTGGTTGATAAACTTTCACCTAGGGCATCCCTAACCCGACTCTGCCGTTCACTTCTGCAACATAAATTTGCTTTGTCACTCAGTCCTCATTCTTTCTACATGACCATACCACAGAAGCATTCCTTTCTTTTATAGATAGGATAGGATGACAAACGAGCACACAGTCCACCTGATGGTAAGTGGTTGCTGTGGCCCATAGACATCTACATCTATCCTCGTTTGCGAATCAAAATGCAGATGCGTTGTCAGCCGTGAGGACTAAAATGGAATGCCTCTTTTCCCGTAAAAAGGGTCTCCGGTTTTCTACACTCACCATACGAAACGGGGCAGCGTTAAACTGGTAATGCTGGTATTTTGTGAGACAATTCTCATTTATACTTTCGTCACCAAACGTTCCCGATAACAATGTTTTCATTTTACTTAAATTTCATTAACACCATCCTTACCATCTCCCAAAACTGCTTTCGGATATAAGTGGTGAGCTTAGACATGTCTGGGGCGTAGACCCCTAGCACAAACAACTTCTTTAAGCCCACTTTCATTCGTATCCATAGTAGTCTCGGGCTTACACATTCATACTCATTCACACATTGACCCATTCTTTCTGAAAAGATGATACTGACTCGCTGGCATGCCCGCTCGGCCTCATCTACACCAGACCAGTAAGCGGTATACATGCCATGTGCAGTGGCATCCCTTTCGTTTCATCGCCTTTACACATAACACATCTATACCTCTATCATTCATCATTTTGCATAGTTCATCCATCTTATTATTCATTGCTCCACATACATTCAGCGGAGCTAGACGGGCCTCCGCAATTAACTTTTCGGAGACAGAACGTGACGGGTGGCAAACCTCGTCGCTGGTTTTTCTCCCGGAGATTCTTCGCACCCCTGCCCCATCAAAGGGACGCCGGAACTCGGGGACATTTATTTTATTTCTTGGCTCATGGTGCGAACTAAGGGATGGTAGATTTTACGCCGCTACCATACGGCAAGGAGCCGAGTTTCTCCTTTCGGCTATGTCGCTCGTTTAGCACTACCTTGGGGCACGTGTAGGTCGAAAGTCGAAGCCTATGGATGCGAGCGACTCACTCCCCTATTCTTATCCCAACTTTAAAAATAAATCTTTCATTTAAATTTATGCTGGTACTGATACTTCATTGATTTATTCACAAATTTCAAACTATATATCATATGTTAAAAGATGACTCCTTAAAATGCTGGTATTGATGTTTACTTGATTTTTTTTTTAATATTTCAATATTTTCTACAAATGCTACATTCGAAAGAACAACAAAAAAGCAGTGCAAAGAGCAATGGTTGTATAGCAACAGTACCCAATAACTATCTTCTAATCCGAGTTTTCATTTACGTCATAGAGACGTCATGTTCTTGACGTCTCGGCAGTCTTGAAGGTTCGGACTTGTCCATATTTTGGCTGCGCGTATATAGCAACAACCATCACCGTGTCTACGGGTGCCTCTATAGGACTCATAGCGGTAATGTCGAAACTGACCGACTCGCACAAATCGCGACAAAATTCCCGACACACCATCTAGATGCTTGACGGTCTATCACTGTGCGATTTACTAGGAGTTTTCTTCCTCGCACGACTTTTTTGGGGAATCGTTTACTACCAATTTTATTTTTCTGGATCGAGATGGCTGGGACCTTCAAGAAACGAGCTTATTCCTTTTTGAAACGCCGGCAACGCACCTGCAATTCCCCCTAGTTTTAACCAAATCAAGGTCACCAATAAGCCTTAGCACGTGTTTCCATTGAGTCCAAATCTGTTAGGTGGTCTTTTGCGGCGCCGGTCCATGTGTGACAGTAGTACCCCATACACGACCGGACTTGCGCTATTACTTTTTTCTTTTAGTTTATGGAAATGTCGTAGTAACGAATTTTGCCAATGTCAAGCCTTTTTCTTTCTTTGGTTATGGACTCGTACGATTGTGCTTTTGCCAGTATCAATTAAATAAGAAACTATCCTATAATGTAAATTTTTTCACAATATGATGACGTTAGTATATCAAGGCGTCTAAGCCGACATATAATATTGAGTTTCACATTATCATCGCAGTACTTGTTTTTTCGTTTTCACTAAACGTTCACATGCGCAGACACTAAATACACAAATTCGCACAAATTTTACATTTCAAAACCCACTTAAAACTATTATTCAAACAATAACGGGCGCAACAATCCGCTCTCGGTCTAATTCCCGCCTAAATCCAGTGACGTTGCACAGGCGGACGAAATGCTGTACTGCTTGTTGAGGAGCCAGGCGTGCCGGCTGCTGATGGCGGCGGACTACGCGTCGGGCAGCGAGGAGACGCCGAGCGCGCGGCCGCCGCCGCTGTACGTGGGCGTGGCGGCGTGGCCCAGCACGCCCGCCGTGTTCGCCGGGCACCTGCTGGCGCTGCTCGCCGGCGCGCACCTGCCGCTCGACCGCACCGCCTGCGACGCGCGCCTCGAACCCGTAAGCACCACGCTACAAAGTAACGCCAGTTCAAATCTCAACTGTTTTATCGGTCAACGCGACAACGTCGAACGTAAAAGACGTTCTTAATTAAGCACCTTTTTCACATTTATGTTTTTATGGCGGGATATGTATTTAGAAGATGAAATCCACCGACACTCCTTGGGGCAGCGCGGTGGACAGTTCTTTCTCCTAAAACCCTTTCAGTAATTTTTGGCTGTATGAAGTCGGGTTTTAAAGTTTAATTTTTAGCAATAACTTTTAAATAATAGCGCTATTAGATAACGGACGACGATGTAACAGACATGACACTTGAAACAATAAAACTGTCTGAGTAGCAGAAAGGCTGTTGATGGCTAAATGTTTTGTTTATTGAATTTTGAACTACAGAGACAACTGTCATGACCATTTCACTTCTAACAAGCTGAAAACAGATAAATAAAAAGCCTACATACAACATAACGCCAACCAAACCAAAAGCTTTCTTCTTATTTTCGTGTTAAAGTAAAATCTGTTAAAAGAAAACTCATTATTTTTTTTTTAAATAGGGCTTCTCACATTACTGGCTGAGGGGCTGGAATCATAGCGGCGTTTGTGTTCAAACTACAATGAATTTCACTCAGGCTATGAGTCCCGCGTTTATTATTCCCGGTAAGTAATATTTGTTTATTTATATTAAAATTCTTGATCTGTCTCCACTCTTCGGTTTCATATTCAGTGCTGTCGAGGACGTGTTTAACAAAGCACACAGAAGGCATACTACTGCTAGATATATTGTATGACATATCAGCAGTTGCATACCTTCGATGGGTTTGCTTGAGCGAAGGAAAAAATTATTTACATACAATACAATACATGAACAAAAGAAAAGCATGAAAAAGTACAAACAAACTATGTACAAAATTAAAAAATATATATTTATATTCTAAAACAATCGTCTCTCTTTCTTAAGAAAATATTAGATTACGTCTACGTAAAATGTTAATGAACGTTGTTTGCAAACGCTAAAATTTAAAAACAAAATAACGGGCGCGTTGGCGCGCTCCTCCGATGTACCTAGCACTGGCTGGCACGCAGCTCGCGCGCGCCTCCCCGCACGCGCTGGTCGCGTGGGAGATCGGGCAGTTTTTTGTTGCCAGCGGCGGCGGTGGGTCGTGGTATAACAGTAGCTTTAGTACAGCGACGCCGTCGCAACCAAAGTACAACAACAAAAGTAGCTTCCGTGGCAGCGATTTCGTGCGACCAGTTTTGGTTTTACCAGGTCTAGATTTTCAGTATTTGTGCGCGTTACTTCGCTACTTAAATTGTGTTTCGTGAAGACCGTCTCGGATTCGATTGTCGATTGCATGAACGGAAGTGAACTTTGACCCACCGCTCATCAGTCGTGCCGCGTGTTACGTTTTTGATTATAATTAACGGGATTTAGTTGAGTTTGAACGTCAAGTGCTAAACTTTGTGACCCGCGAGAACCAGCGTTCGTATTAGATTATAGATTTGTGCTGATGGACGCTAGACTGAGTGACACCGAGTGATGCCGCTGGAGTGATACCACATAGGGTGGCGGTGCTGGAGTCAGGGTTGCTGCTGATTAAAAAGGGCTAATTCAGGTTAAACATATATACACTTCTCACACACTACTTACATTCACGACAATTAACGCCTGAACGAGCCTTGTGACCAGTCTCCGCTTTTAAAACCAGGTAAGTCGCATTAAGGACCTAATCCATATGTATTAAATATCCATAGGCATTTGAGCCCCACACTTAGTTGTCCGTCGAATCTAACAGCTGTATGGGCCCCTGTATGTTCGACCTTAGTTTGGGCAACTAGGTGCGTGTACAAACGTTTTAATTGTACCAATAACTGTTTATGTGAATATGAGCTGTTTTTTCTTAACAAAGTATAAAGACCTTTCCCTCGCCGATTAGCACTTTAACACTCTTCAATTCATCACAATGATCTCTATTATCCTCCATTTTCACTAAAAATCTTTAAAATAGCATTAAAGTAAACACACAGAGTAAATATTGAAATGCGAAGTGAAGTTGCACCTAAAGCCAGGCTTATCGCTCCATACTAATTGCTATATAAACAATCGTAGTTATATTTCATTATAGAACATTTTGCCACAGGTTAGAAAGGGGGCGATCGTCTTCTCGAAAGCCCGGTAAAAAGCCCACGCGTGCGAGAGAGACGACTAATCGCTCAACTCAACTCCTTTTTTATGGCAGCAGTATCGCGCAGTTTTGCCGCGACGATTAAGAGGCGTATTACAAAAAAAAAACGCGAAATTACAAGGTTTCCTCGTTGAAATTGTATGTTTATCGTTCGTTGCTTGAAATAACAATTACTTGGTAAAAAAAGTTCGTTTTCTCTACTACAATAAGCTCAGAGCGAATTTTAGATAACTTATTTATTTATTTAGTAATAATCATTCTCCCGATGCATGTTTAGGCAAAAACTCTCGAAGACATCATTTTTGGGAGCTGTAATTTGTAGGTTCTATTGAATATCGACCATCAAAAAAATATTTTTATCTCCCAAATATCTTACACTTTAATAATTATAGAATACATTTTAGTTATATGCCTTTCACGCTAGGAAAAAAAATCTACATAATTAAAAAAACAACCGATGAAGCTTCGATACAAGCCTTGTTTAGGCAACATATTAACCATTTGAAATTGTATTATTAACGCACTCTAATAGCCTAGGATCTTATCGAGGTCACGTCCGCCCCCCCGCGCCGACATTCCATTCGAGCGGTTGAACGGAAGCGTCGAGACGTTTCATTCTAAAAATCGGTCGGTCGTAGCGGACGTTTTTTGCTTTTCTGTTAAAATTTGCCGCGTCATTATGGAGGTGAACTTTACCCGTCTGTCGTCGTACGAGCCACGTGTTGGTTCTTGACTGTGATCAACGGATTAGTTCCTTTTTTGTGAAGCTAGTTGAATGTACAATAAAGTGAATAGACTGACCTAGTGCCTTGAAGAAAGAAATTGCCACCGGGGACGCCACAGGAGAATACCGCCTCCGGGGCAGCATCGTGTCATCTGGTTCAGGCCACCTAAACACAGACACTCCCAAACACCACTTACATGCACTACACCCTCAGCCTGACAGATCCTGGTGACCCGTCTCTGCTCCCGAAGCCGGCAAGTACCTTAGTAGTTAAATACTCTCTATTCGACTAGCCTTCCCATTGTTTAGTGTAGTAGGATAGAACATTTCCATAAGGCCACAAGGGCACGAACCCTCTGTTGCTTATCGAGTGAATCAACCCTGGGCCCGGGTTCAGTCGACTTTTGTTGGGGTAACTGAGGGCCGTAACAAGCCTCAATATTTGCGAAGTTCTACATCATTTAGACGTAAAATTTATACCAAAATAATCATCAACATTTGTTTAAACTATACTATTATTTTTACTTTTTAAATCGTTACTATTATATTTTAATTAATTAATTAAATAAAAGTACCATATATTTGACTGCGCCGGCCATCTGCGATAACTAACGCGCGAGCGCTTGTTGAGGTTGGACCTGCGTCAGTTGATTTCGCGCACTGCGTCGTTTCGATACTATCGTAGTGTGCATCGATTGCCGTATAGGCGCTGTTATTGTGTGCGTGCTAGAGTATCGTCAACTACGACCCCAGTTTTTGATCCATCGGTTTAAAACTATTTTATATAGTTATAATCTAGAGCACGTCTCTTCCATCAAACATGGAAGGGACAACGAATCTGTAGCATTGGCACAATTGAAAAAAACAAAAGAGCAAACAAGAAAATATTATTATAGAAAAATGTGGTCTATTCATTGACCTAGAACCATTGTTATTTGAGGGCTTCACCTAATGGTTTATACAGTGACGGTCTTATTTAAGTTAAATGTCCTATTTCAGCTCTCGGAATAGATTTTGACACGGCCTTTCGACCAAAAAAAAGTTAAAGGTTATAAATTCAATGATTCAAGTGTAACATTAAATCAAAATCATGACTGGTTTTACCAAATCCAAGGCCAACAACAAAAGGTTTACAAAATAAAATGTCTGAATACTTGCCATATGTACTGGTCCAGATTATGCAGTAAATGTACTAAAAATTAACAAAGACGACCAATTTTAGATTTTCAATATGTTACCCAAGGTACAAACTTTTTATGGAAAATGTGTACTGCCTGATATTATCGACTCGAGAAAAGTTCGGTCAATGCCGTTGCGGCAAATATTTTTCTAATAAAAAATATGGTAATTGACTATAAGTGCCGATTAAAAAAATATTAGTTACATTTGGTTGTTTTATTTATTAAAACAGATTGCAACCGTACTATTTATTAATGAATACCACTATTCTACCGGTAGTAGACGTAATCGATTATTAACATTCGATTACTGCGTAACAATTAAAATATTTATGTGTACTTATTTCGACACAAATTTCATAAATAATGAAAAATATATCAAAATAGTATGTTATAATAAATAATAAATTATATAATAATAAATTAATAAGATAACATTAAAATGACACCAAAAAATTTCCTATCCACTGAACTCCATCCTAAGAAAAGTTGTATTATGGAAGATCAAGATCGTTTAATCGCCATACTCACAGTATTATAGTGCGAGCGAGTGAATAGATATGAAAGAAAGTATCGCTCGCGTAGCTCGCCACCCGCTCGGTGCGTAAACTACCTAAACTTGCAAAACGCCGAAATGTAAGAGGGTTCTTAATTTTGACAGTCCATTGCGTGGAGGAGCGCGCGGGAAATTTGAAATAGTTTGAAACACTTTACAAGTCATTTTATTAGTTGATATTATTGATTGAGCAGTTTGATAGGGCAAGCCCGCCTTCCCGGCTTTGCTACCGCTATGTAGACTTTTCACGTTCTAGCTGTCACTTGTGTTGCATATTTACAGCCGATTATTACACTAACTAAAGCTTATACTGTTAATTAATTAATAGTAATTTTATATAAATTTAATTGGTAGAGGCACGCTGCAGATATATTATGGTTGTAGCACAAATGCGTCGGCTCGACCGTGGTAGGACCACGCTCTCACACAATATCAGTGTTAAATATCAGTGTTAAATAGCAGCTTAATGCTTATGTGTTTCGTATGGTAAGTGAAGAGAAACAGAGACCCTTTTTACTGGAAACGAGACATCCCATCTTAGTCTTCAAGGGTGCTGACATTTGTAGTAGAACTAAAGTAACTGACATAAAGTGATAACCTGGTGGCTTAGGATCGTGTATCAATGGACTTGTGATGGGCTATAATCATGATGATAATGATGATGACATAAAATAGGAATCAAATAAAAACAAAGACAGTTTGGTAGCACAGTGTCTAAGCAAATTGACAGCGACGTTGTTCGCGGATACGATTTCCACAAGTAACAGGAATCGATATGACTTATAGACAATGCTTGTTTATGTAAAACGTCTTCAGTACAGGAGAAATTCTTTATGTGTGTGAATCCATAAGAATACCGTCGCTTCGATTTCCGCACGGAATAGGTTTTAGTATAACCTATTGATAATAATCGCTCGTGTATGTAAAAAGTAACGTAAAACGTCTGAACGATACAGGAGAAGTTCTTTATGTGGGTAAAGACTTTTTTTTAGGAAAAAATGATATTAATTCCTTGAAGTAATACCTATGTATCACGTACTAGAAGAGACATCTTACTTAGCCTGTGCCATAATAAGCTAGTCTGTGTCTCGCACTGCTGCACATATTTTGTCGTGGTGTCTGTTCTAGTACATATTACATATTTACCGTTTCCGTTATACGGTAGAACTAGACTATTAAAGTTCACTGTTGAACATAGGCCTCCCTCATAGATTGCTTTATAGAGAGGATATTTACCATCGTTGCCACGCTTGGCAAGCGGGTTGGCAACAGTAGAATAGCAGTTTTCTATTTTTAGTCGTTTCAATTCTCCCACTTGAAAAACGCTGTTTCCCATCTTCTGATTTGCTTCCTTCGGTCGCTTCTTACGACACTCACGGGATGTTATGGGTTAGTGGATATTCTTATGGATGCCATATATGATCCAGTTTACCGTCAAGTATGCAGCGCGCTTGAAGCGGCGTCAAGATTGCAGTGCATCCATATAGACCACTCACGGTCAAGATCGCCGTCAAGTTTCATGATGCCGCATCAGTTGAAACCATTGCGTTTCTCGCTTATTTGCTCCAACTACCGTCATGCAAACTTGACCGCTCATACACACGTTCAAGTTAGCATGATACATACTGTAAGCTTGATCAAGTTCGCAAAGTCGAAAAGTTTGCTTAGTGTGTGCTTGTGATGCACACTGATAGCCTTAAAGTTAACCGAGCGCCGCTTCAAGCGCGATGCAAACTTGACGGTAAACTGGATCATGTATTTTATTTTATTTTATTTTTATGTTATGGAAAACCAACTGCTTACAAATCTTAAGTAAATAACATGTTAAATTTACAAAAAGCAAATAACAGGTTCTCACTAATAGAAATACACTAACATAATCTATTTCGTTGTTTAAAGGACATAGCATAAATACGAGCAACAAAAATGGAGTCTAATTTAAATGTACAACATGCATAAATTTAATAATGAAACAAACAATAATAGCCACAAAAGAAAAGAAAAAGCAGGGCTAAACGCACAATATAATTTTTCTTAAAATAAATAATACATTCAATTATGACATAAAAAAATATATGGCATCCATTACATCGCCCCTACACGGTCAGTACATATTTAGTTGAATGTATTAACTAGAGTATGTATGTGAGTGTGTGTATATATCCGTGTTCAGATTACGAGATGTCGTCGGGCACGTACTCGACGTGGACGGAGTCGGTGTGGCAGGCGATGTCCGCGCGCGTGTTCGTGTCGGCGAGTGGCGCGGGCGCGCGCGTTGCCGCGCTGTGCGGCGCCGGCGCCACCGCGCTCGCCGCCGCGCTCGCCTGCTGGCTGCGCCGCCACGCCGCCGCACTCTTCCCGCACGCGCCCGCCCCGCTACACACCGACGACGCGCGGTCAGTACACAGTACACAATACACAGTACACGCAGCGCCCGAACACTTGTATGCGGCGCCGGCGCCACCGCGCTCGCCGCCGCGCTCGCCTGCTGGCTGCGCCGCCACGCCGCCGCACTCTTCCCGCACGCGCCCGCCCCGCTACACACCGACGACGCGCGGTCAGTACACAGTACACAATACACAGTACACGCAGCGCCCGAACACTTGTATGCGGCGCCGGCGCCACCGCGCTCGCCGCCGCGCTCGCCTGCTGGCTGCGCCGCCACGCCGCCGCACTCTTCCCGCACGCGCCCGCCCCGCTACACACCGACGACGCGCGGTCAGTACACAGTACACAATACACAGTACACGCAGCGCCCGAACACTTGTATGCGGCGCCGGCGCCACCGCGCTCGCCGCCGCGCTCGCCTGCTGGCTGCGCCGCCACGCCGCCGCACTCTTCCCGCACGCGCCCGCCCCGCTACACACCGACGACGCGCGGTCAGTACACAGTACACAGTACACGCAGCGCCCGAACACTTGTATGCGGCGCCGGCGCCACCGCGCTCGCCGCCGCGCTCGCCTGCTGGCTGCGCCGCCACGCCGCCGCACTCTTCCCGCACGCGCCCGCCCCGCTACACACCGACGACGCGCGGTCAGTACACAGTACACAATACACAGTACACGCAGCGCCCGAACACTTGTATGCGGCGCCGGCGCCACCGCGCTCGCCGCCGCGCTCGCCTGCTGGCTGCGCCGCCACGCCGCCGCACTCTTCCCGCACGCGCCCGCCCCGCTACACACCGACGACGCGCGGTCAGTACACAGTACACAATACACAGTACACGCAGCGCCCGAACACTTGTATGCGGCGCCGGCGCCACCGCGCTCGCCGCCGCGCTCGCCTGCTGGCTGCGCCGCCACGCCGCCGCACTCTTCCCGCACGCGCCCGCCCCGCTACACACCGACGACGCGCGGTCAGTACACAGTACACAATACACAGTACACGCAGCGCCCGAACACTTGTATGCGGCGCCGGCGCCACCGCGCTCGCCGCCGCGCTCGCCTGCTGGCTGCGCCGCCACGCCGCCGCACTCTTCCCGCACGCGCCCGCCCCGCTACACACCGACGACGCGCGGTCAGTACACAGTACACAATACACAGTACACGCAGCGCCCGAACACTTGTATGCGGCGCCGGCGCCACCGCGCTCGCCGCCGCGCTCGCCTGCTGGCTGCGCCGCCACGCCGCCGCACTCTTCCCGCACGCGCCCGCCCCGCTACACACCGACGACGCGCGGTCAGTACACAGTACACAATACACAGTACACGCAGCGCCCGAACACTTGTATGCGGCGCCGGCGCCACCGCGCTCGCCGCCGCGCTCGCCTGCTGGCTGCGCCGCCACGCCGCCGCACTCTTCCCGCACGCGCCCGCCCCGCTACACACCGACGACGCGCGGTCAGTACACAGTACACAGTACACAGTACACGCAGCGCCCGAACACTTGTATGCGGCGCCGGCGCCACCGCGCTCGCCGCCGCGCTCGCCTGCTGGCTGCGCCGCCACGCCGCCGCACTCTTCCCGCACGCGCCCGCCCCGCTACACACCGACGACGCGCGGTCAGTACACAGTACACAATACACAGTACACGCAGCGCCCGAACACTTGTATGCGGCGCCGGCGCCACCGCGCTCGCCGCCGCGCTCGCCTGCTGGCTGCGCCGCCACGCCGCCGCACTCTTCCCGCACGCGCCCGCCCCGCTACACACCGACGACGCGCGGTCAGTACACAGTACACAATACACAGTACACGCAGCGCCCGAACACTTGTATGCGGCGCCGGCGCCACCGCGCTCGCCGCCGCGCTCGCCTGCTGGCTGCGCCGCCACGCCGCCGCACTCTTCCCGCACGCGCCCGCCCCGCTACACACCGACGACGCGCGGTCAGTACACAGTACACAATACACAGTACACGCAGCGCCCGAACACTTGTATGCGGCGCCGGCGCCACCGCGCTCGCCGCCGCGCTCGCCTGCTGGCTGCGCCGCCACGCCGCCGCACTCTTCCCGCACGCGCCCGCCCCGCTACACACCGACGACGCGCGGTCAGTACACAGTACACAATACACAGTACACGCAGCGCCCGAACACTTGTATGCGGCGCCGGCGCCACCGCGCTCGCCGCCGCGCTCGCCTGCTGGCTGCGCCGCCACGCCGCCGCACTCTTCCCGCACGCGCCCGCCCCGCTACACACCGACGACGCGCGGTCAGTA